ATGTACATAAACAAGTATTCTAGGCAGCGGAAAATGGACAACAGATTTGATCCTACTGATCTATCATCTGCAATTTAATGAGATTCATATCGTAAAAAATGACAATTTCATCTTCCATTTATCATCTTCTAGTTTGCTTAATGACCTTCCAGCGCCTAATCCTGACAAATAGTATATGCTTTTAACGCGAGCCATTACTTCTCTTGTATAACCATTTTATATGTATCGTAGTCTGTTTCAAGATCAGGACTTGGATTAAACTTCAAGATATCTATAATTAGGGAAAGTACCATATATTTTGTCGCGATATTAACAATAGTTCTATGTCAATAAATTGTTCATGATTCCCACGCAAGTGACACAACGCCCATGACTGCATTACTATTGGCCGATGAATTTCAATGTACATGACATAATGAACAGAGAAATGATAGGCGACAGTCATCAACTTTGCTAGAAAGCAGAGAAATAATGAATAAACAGTATTTACCTTGCATTAGATATCGTAATCATAACAAAAAATGAACATGATTTCATTTAAGCATATCCAAACGCATAAATATAGCATACACTTTGTTATCAATCTGACTTTTCACTCTTATTACATTTCTTAGCTTATCTTGTAAAAAATATTTAATTGGGTATTTGGTGAGAGTCTAATGCAACTGTGATGACTCAGAGCAGAGATGTATGTATGGAATGGATCTTAACGAGTGCATGGTAACAAATGAGAGTGATTAAGCAATTAGCTTGTGTCTCTTTTGATGAGGCTGGTAAAGACTTACTTGGTTTTGATACAAACTTCCACTGTAAATTCAATATTTTAGAGGAATATAATTATCGTAAACGTTCTAAGAAATTGCAGCGGAAAAGCAGGTATTGTTTAAGTCTTAAAATGTATCATGGTTTGATATTGATTCAACGATACACATCTACATATAATTATGTATATATTTTAAACAGTTTGAATAAATATATATCTTAACGGTACACATGGAAATACAACAAATTATGTGTGTGTTTTTACAAAAGTAAAAAAAAAAGGTATATAGTCCTAAGTAATAAAATCGTTGTTATGTCCTGTGCATCAGTTTGTATTCTTCATTTTTTTTAAAGGGAAAATCCTTTTATGCAGATCAAAATTATGTTCAATGTATTACATATTCAGAAGTACTTCTTTTAACATTATTTATTTTGTAGTGTGCAACACCATGACCAGATAGCGAAGCATTTTTTAAAATCATGACTTTACATTTTTTTAAACAAAAAAATATCAGGTCGCATCTGTCCTTCCTTGAACATCACCTCTCTAATTTTGGGAATTTCACATTCCTTATAATAATAATAATGATAATTTGTCAGCTATTATTGTTGCTTTGGAAATGGCTTCCTTGTAGAAAACATATCTTTAAGTTTCAGTGACGTCATGGTTTGCTAGAGAGATGATGTTAAGTATTACATTAAACGAGAAGAGTATACACTGACTGTTAAAGTTATTGTCTTTATAAACTAAAATCTCTCAGAAATATAAAAAGTAGGCCTTTCAAATATCAAAATTGAAATATGACCTCTTGTTTCGATGATTTTTTATTTGAGCTGGTTAAATAATTAACACCATAAAACACACAGCCAAAGGTAAAATGTTTTATCCATACCATAGAAAGTGGAAAAGTCACCGCGGGGGGCTAATTCATTAGAAATAGCAAAAGGCTGTCTAATTACTATTTGACTTACTGGAACCTATCAAACCGTGTTTATTCGTGTTTCGTTCTCTAAATTGAGCATTAATATGAGACTACTACTACATCGATCAGTTAATAAGAGCCTGACTCGGGAGTCTTAATAAATCCTAGGTTTGAAATAATATAGGCGTGCAACGGACGACGACGGCGACAATCGAGAAGCTTTACAATAATAGTCTTATACTCATCATGCTATACTGAATCCCTTGTTTCTTTATTGAACTGGTTTCACCAGATATCGACTCGAGAACTGACTTTTTAAATCGTTATTGACGTGTTGGGCGCGCAACGAGTCGAGAAGATAGAGACATTCATGCGAATAATCCGATGCAATCAGTCATCACAGACCCCTTCAAACTAAATCCATATTCAAATTTCATAACAAGTTAACATTATTGTATCATTTTCAAGCTAATTAATCGATAAGTTTTTGACATTGCCTTTCCGTCATAGAAAAAACACTCAAGACCAGTCGTTATTTCTAAGCAGCTGATCTGATGAAGACATGACTCGAGGTACCCGCGAACCTTCTTTCCGTTGCAGTGGTCCCTATTTTCCCGCCCCACGAACGTCCTTCGAAACTTTCCTTAACGGATCGTCTTCTCTTGCATGTAAAACCTCAAAATCCAATACAGAGATCGGTGACCTTTTAACCTTCGATTGAACTGTCTATCATGCACTTTCATTAACGATTGTTTTCCATCAAGTACAGTTTGAATATACCATAACAACACGATGGCGTTGGTCTTGGATGCATGAATAATGAGGAAAATTAAAAATGTCAGAATACGCAAGGAGAAATATATCTTAATCAACAGGTGGATATTCATGTAAATATAGCAAGGAAAAAAGACTGCCCTTTTTCTGGATGTACAACTCCTGGTGAAGTTTCCTTGTGTAGATTACAAAGGCCTACCACCCCCTCTCTCTCTCTCTCTCTCTCTCTAGCTCTCGCTCACTTTCTTTCTATTTTTGCCAGCTTTCATTATGTTTAAGGTTACTACCAAAAGATTTGCATATGAAAAGCCATTTTTATTTTATTTTAATGATACAAATATTTGTTACAATAATAATAAAGTAACATAAAGTAAATTTATAAAATGCACCATAGATAAAATTCCTTCCTTGATAATGTTGATTGTGTTAAATTTCCATATTTTCCTCCTCATAATTATGTAATAATAAGAATTCTCGAAGAAGAAAAAGTGGGGTGTTGTGTAACAATGAAATACAAAACCTTCATAATTCCAACAAACCCCACATTCCGATTTCAACAGACCTATTTTGAATTATCTTGTAGGAGAAGATTTTTGACATGGTCATAATTTAATCTTACAATTCAACCATTCAAGAAGGAAAGAAGATAGATTTGCATCTTAACTGCTTATAGGAGTCTACGCCATCTTGGAAAGTAGCTTTGGCGGTCAGACCCAGTGTTCTCTCAGTCTGGAACGACTCCATCGGGCATTTAAATATGCTGCCTCGGAGTATATTGCCAGTTGGAATCAAAAGAAGATGTGGTATTATCTCCCAATCGAGGAAGGGTTTTTCTTTTATCTTGCATACCCCTTATTCTTGTGGTCCAAGAAAGCAGACAATGGCTGTCAAACCATGCATGGAGTTTAGAGGAGACACCTAGACCGGACAGGGTCATCTTACCAAAGCTTAGACAGGCTTCCTTTCACAAGGAGAGCTAATCTCTTCAGCTTACCTCCACCCTCCAAAGGACACGCTATAGATTTTCCTCCTCAGTTAGTATAAGATAGGCCTAGGCAGAAGGTTCTCACTTCTTTTTTCTTCTTCTCTCCGCACCGCTTTCTCTGTCCATCGACTTATTTCTTTTCATACAAAAGTCATCAATAGAGATAGGATCGTGAAGGATCTGGATGGCCTATTGTATCTTACCATCTATCTATTGTTAGATTATTTGAGGTTAACGCTGTCAGAAGTGGAAGAAAAGATAACTGGATTGAATGGTGAAGGGGTTAGATATTACCCCTTCTCTCTGGATGGCTTGGGGTATGTCGCGGATCATTGGGTTAATCAATTGAAAAGTCAAAAGTTCATCAAAGTTTGGGGATTGCATCTATTGTGTGTTAACTTACTACTGACATGACCCTTATCTTATCATTGACCATGGGATAATTCCATATCTATCCCATCGATTCTCTCTGACAAGAATTGGTGAACAAAAACCACTGTAAATCATCATGAAAAAACACATATATTCTTAAACATTATCCATCTCTTACATTAGATTATTTCAATTCATCATGGCCAATTCTTATACGATTGTCATTACACAATCCAAAAGCATTGCGTAAGGTGGATTCTTAAGTTTGTTTTATTTTTTAGATCAATACGCAAAGTGCGCTTCATGATCTCTAAGTTATGCACTATTCTGTCTCCATTCGCACAGCTCCACAATCTTGGTATTTTTTAGGCACGGTTATGCATTTTCCCTCTCGTCTGATTTCCTATTGGAATTATGGAATTGTACGGAAAAACACCCACTAATGGTAAAGGAAGTCAGATAACACTTGGAAATGAGAAATATATATGTAGGTGATTACAGTGTCTTTCAAGATGCACAATAATATCATGATTCCAATGGTTCGAAGGTATTGGTCCCTCATTATACTTGTCACTGACACACACAAAGTAATAATATGTAGTACTTAAGTTTAACAAATTCTCATTGCCAATCATTTCATTACAAATGGGTGCTAACATCACACTGATGCCATTTCTGGATGAGCTTTTAGTTACACTGTCTTATATATTTTCATAACTGAAAAAAAAGGTTGATCGACCGAACTGAAATGGCATATGTTTCTTAAATAACCAGATTGCTTGTATCTTAGGAATGCACAAGAAACGATCATTTCTTACATAATAACGACTGAATCTTTAATTCATATTTGAACATAATACACGTCGCAATACTGGCTAAATTTGGTTCATTTGACACCAATCTAGTTATGTTTAGGGATAAGATTAAGTAGTATATTACTTTAAGATGTAATACTTAAATGATTTAGACCGAAAATCACGCTGTGAAACCAAATATCGTATACTTTTCCATGTAATAATAATAATAATCATAATAAATTTATATAGCGCAGCTGTTATACAAAATATATTCAGCTGCGCTGTAAGAGTTGATGTCCTACTGAAGCATCTTTTTTCATGCATTTGAAATACACATTCGTATAATCTGAATCGAAATTTTTAAGATAAAGAATGTCGTGATCTTACCTGCAAAAAGAAGAATTATTCTGTGACATCTCGGTGAGTCTTCCACCAGATAGCTCGAAGAAGAATGTTTCCTACTACAAAGTGGACTCCTTACTCCCACCGGCATCTGTCGAGAGAGGAACGGCGTCGTGAAAATAAGTAAACGTGGAGGAAATCGTGGACAAGGAAACTTCAAACTTCAGCACAGAGAATTGGGTGGGTAGCCTACCTCCCGAAGCCATACAATCAATCTATTGAAGCAGTACGAGTTTAGACTGTGCTCACTGGAAGGACAGACCGATACTAAATCGTGTGTATGGTCAGTGTGCTATTATGGCGTGACGTGAAATATAATGTGCTTTGCACGGGTGTGTATGGGTGGAGAGGAATCGGAGAATGATCGAAGGTGCCCAAAGGGCTTCCTTTTCGAAAGTCACGTGACCATCCGCACTCAAAAAGCGCCACCGAAAACTTCGGGGAAAAGTGACCACTCGAGTCTCTCGGCATACCAGACTATGAAGCGATATACTTTTCATTCGCATACTTTCTCGTGGAAGTAGCATATACGTAGATAATACTATGTAGGAAGAAAACTGCAGTTAGTGTGCAGATCACGATATCCGGCATAATATGCATGAAATCATGTACTTTAGGACAATCCTGTTAATTTAAACTTACTTAAAAATTTACCACATGAGACGATAAAGGTGATAACGCATTGATTTGTCACTGTCACTGTCTTCATTCTGACTCGGTCGTGATCAACAATATTATTCTTTGCCCAAACACCCTGTGATATAGGCCAATATGGAATATACGAGAATGAAATAGATATTTATACTGCTGCATTGATATACTTACTACTGATACACCCAAAATGGATCATGCTGTGTAAATATTTACAATTAATTTGAGCTATGCTGCTTTGAGCTAGCCTATATGCTGATTTCATGTTGCCATGATCAATATAATAATACGAACAACTTCCGCAATTATCATTATCTCCAAACGTGAACAGTGAAATAAAATGAAAAGCATCAAGATAAAGATCATTATTCCGAAACTATATTCCTACATGGATACCATGAAAAACAAAACTCATTATGATATCGTTCCAGTGGCAAACAGACACGGTCGACGTATATACAAGAGGATCTCAACTTGACTCACATAATTTATGCTATACCATAATACATTTCTCATCAGTCATATGATAATATGACCGTCTCGGTGTCAGATTATGAGTTAGAGGAGAACTAAATTTGATAGCTTATTGGCCTTGGATAATTCACCTCGTGACGCCGAGCAATCTACACCACGCACTATGACATTTTTAATCGTCTGATGACTAAAATATGCAAATTTTGTACAGCGCCATTTAATGCGACAAGGATTGCTGGGTATTACTATTTATTATGGTTAAGATTTCGTTCAGATAGGAGGTACAACTGTATTTTTATAACATTGATAATACCGTCATTAGTGACAGCAGACTGTTGTAGCATGTTTTGGGAATATGAGAAAGTTAGTGGTATCAAATGTTAAACTCTTGAATATTTTGAAAGATAAAAACGGGTAACATGGGGTGGTAGATTAAAAATAGAGAGCGAAGGGGTGAGAGGGAGGGGTGAAGGAAGGGACTGGAGGAAGGAGGCCAGGTGGGGAGAGAAACGAAGAGGGAGGGAGGGAGAGAGAGGGAGAGAGAGGGAAGGGAGAATTAGTTCAAGGGAGGAGGAAGAGAGGAAGGATGAGGGGAATACGAAAAGAAGAAGATACTTTGAAAGAAAATTGATGGTGGACCTAGTGGAACCATCAATAAAATAAATCGTTGTCAACATGCAAAACTAAAGAAATAATTCTTATGAACTGTATTATAAAACGGGAACAAGATCGATTATTGAAAGGCTGACCGTATTACCAGGGGCCGTGTAACATTTCTCCAGAGGGTAAAACAGGGGTTTTCCCTTCACAGCCTTTGAGGATGTAATCCGGAGTATCGTCCCATGTAGAAGCATATAGCCTTCCTAATAATAAAGAATATCATAGTCTCTTTATACGAACAGAAATCATAACACTGCATGCACCAAAACCGCAATGATTTGACTAAATTCTGCTCTTGATGGGTGTTCTATACGACCACAGTTGCTGTAATACGTGGTCAATTTTCTGCAACTAAACGAAACGCTAACGTCAACCCTGAACCGAACACTATACTCTTACCTCAACCTTAAGCCTAACCTAAAACCAAATATTGGTTCCCTAACCATAACCCTATAATTATCCTTGACAAATTAAAGCTCGAACAATGTATTTGGAGCAAATGATTGCTTGTAATATTCATTATTTTGACAGACATTTCTGCTCATGATGATTTCAGGAACATTAACGTTGAAAACCAAGGATACTTTTTTCCAACCCTATCATATTATGAACACTTTTTTTTGCACGACACCACAATCAACACGGAATTCATAGATATTGGTCTGTAAGGAAATGAAAGGTTAGACATTATCGTGTGCAGATCGCAAGCTAAAAAATGACAAAGCCTTGCCATTGAATAACAACAGTGTTAAAGATGAATTCATAGAAACATCAGGGATCATAACGTCGCACAATTCATAAATAGTTTTATAATACGTATTCAAATAATCTTGTATGATTACGAAAATTGTATTAAATTGACTTGATTCATCTGTCATTATGTTGGATTTGTATGGGTCCACGGCAACCCCAACAATCCATCCTTTCTCAAAATCCGTTCATACTAGTGCAACACTTCGATGTCATTTAAGAACATCTTCATCGCTTATAATGAAGTAATTATTGAATGGCTATATGAGTAAGACCTCGGCGTTATGCAGGAGCAACAGCCAGAATAAAGAGAAGAGAAATCCTCCGAATATACTTGAAAATACCCCCAGCAATTCCAACTAAAGTTGTTTCCGAACTGAATATCCTTTGGTCATATCTATAATTAAAACCAGTGCTCAAGATACTTTGCTATCCAAGGCAAGTGAGGCTGCATGGGAGAGTGGCTCGTTTGCATAAAGTCTACCACAAGTCGCAGGAAATACTCCGCGGGCAAAAAAAAAACTTCTTCTGAGCGTGAATGGAGCGAAAATGAGCGCTGTCTTTAGGCGACGAACTCGTGTGGCACTCAAATCTGTTTAAGGTAGGCACTATTTTTGTACAGATTCTTTTTCAAAACAATATTCCCCCCTTTCTCTCTGACCTTTTCTTGACCTCACTCTTCGCGAGAATAAATAAAGCGAATCACAACGAAATCAATATGAGTATAGATTTTTCTTTCGAACATGTCAGCTAATAATTTTAAAAACTAATATAAGTCTCTTAAAGATGCATCTACTTATGCAGTCTTTTCCCATCAAGTCTGACAAAACCTAAAGTATTTCAAAACGATTCCTGTTTCCAAATACTATTAATAAGGTAACACATTATTTAACACTCAGTGCGGAGCCTTTACCTTCGATTGAATTATGCACGACATGGTTTTACAAGTGTTTCGTTTTAGGAGTTCAAGTTGGAGACGGGATGGTATATAGAGCGAGGCAGCATCGCCATGGCCGTCGGCTGTATTATAGCTTGGATTCTAGCGTAAGCATAGACCGTGCTTTACTGCTATAGATCAACCAAATCTCTTTAGTCTGAATTCGAGTTTATATAACTAGCATCCTTTAAAGAATTATTATTTAAACTCCAAGTTTACGTAATCTGACATTCTATCACTCAATCCTTACACGATCAAGTCTAAAACACGACAGGTAAACAATGATTTAAACAACCTGAAAGTCGGGTTTTGTTTCTGGATACTCTTATTCCCATGATATACAATAAGCTAAAAAGCCCTACATTGTTTTATCCCAATCAACCACTGCTGGGGGGGGGGGGGGGGGGGGGGTTCACAAAGATCCTAAGTAGAATACAAAGTTTTGGTATGGGGTCATGAATTTGGTTCAAATGAACAAATTGGAAGCATATGCGATCCTACAATATTCAGTGATCGTTGTCGCGGTTGAAATCGAATCTTAACTTATGAAATTGTAAATAATAAACTCTTTGGATGTATAGCTCCCTCTCAATGTCAAGATATTAATTAAGCTATAAAACAATATTTCTTGACTAAAATCGACCAATTAGCTATTCCCGTTTGGAAATTATATATCACAACTATACATATTCTGATATTTTCATGGTCGCAGCTACCATTGTACGGCCGTAGGCGCTATTTGAAATTTACCAAAATTTACCGGGAGCACCAGTAAATTTTTATATTCAATTTTTCTCGAAAGCAGAAATGTTTAAGGGGCTAAATTTTCTAGTGCATGGAGGTTTTTAAGTTGACCATGTTGTAGATTAAGGTTGTCTTTTGCAGATTATACGACTTCACCTTTATAAATTACTCTGACAAGACTTGTTCTTAATGGCAATATAGTGATTTGTATATACATGTATTGAAAAAGCATTTACTTTCGTTTTTTTTTTATATCAAATTCTTCAACCACAGGTCGACCATGACATAAAATCGAGCAGATGTTGTTGAAGTTAACGGGCCAGTTAACCCTTGAAACCGTGTATATACGGTACTGTTATCAATGGCGTCCTAAATAATCTGCAAAACACACTGTGAAGCAGCGTGAATATCGAGTTTGACATTTTCACATAATTTTTCACAATGTTATGCTTAATTTTTGTATTAGGAAATTTCACTGGGATTTTCCCCTCTGATTTTGGGATAGAGTTGCATTCATAAATTTGATTTTGAAAACCATTCCCGCGTCTAGATGTGCATGCCCTTTTTGCAACAGTATACATTTTAGTTTCAAAATCATATAGAGCTACACACAAGCTTATCTATCAATTCTACGTCTAGAAGGGAGGGGAAAAGGACATCTAAATGAAAATATAGCTACGACCTTTTTTCCCCTTCTAATTACCAGAATGTGAGATTACCTACTGAGCTCGTCTTGTGTCAAGTGAGCATAAACGTCGTGAAGGCTATGGCTGAGGAGAGAAATTGAAATCATTATTTCAAGACAAGCATTATGCAGAGGCAGATACGAATATCGCTTAGGGGTCTATTCAGAAGAAGATGTACTTGAAATATCCATCTTGATGAAGACTGCATCATCTTACCCACCATCCACGAAGAGACTGATGAGAACCAAGGATAAAAGGAAGGCACAGGCAGCAGCATTACACTGGTCAAGCAAACAAAGTGTTTTGGGGCATTTCAATGATCATTCAGTGTCATAATTATGAAGGCCAGACAAAAAAAAATCAAGCATCATCATCATCATCCAACATCCTCGAGAATTTGATGAAATAACTAATAATTATCACACATGCAGGCGTACACAACACATGCAAACGCCTTGCTTCATAATGATAGTGTTGCCTACTTCTTTGTATGATACCATAATGTAGCAAGATACTAAAACTCCCAAACCTCTGTCTTTTTCTCATATAAATTTGAGAAAGAAGCAAACGATTCAGATTTTTGACCAACACATTTGAATTTCATTTGATTTGATATTCCCTGACAAAACATTACTTTATGTGGTACATCCAATAAAT